AGCAAAGCTCTGCGGTCTCTTTTAGCTCTCTGAGTTTGTGTGTTTGTACAATAAGGCGTATAAATACTGGGGCAGTTTTGGAGACATTGCTTTATCCCTCACTGTTTGAGTATAATAAATGGCAGGGAGGTTTTCAGAGGCCGTCTGGCTGGCAGTCCTTCCCCCATCCTGTTGAAGTATGTCTTTTTAGACAGTGTATGTAGTGCAGGGTTTCTCAATCTCAGCATCATTGGCATGTTAGGCTGGATAATTCTTTCTGTGGGGGCTGCCCTGGCCGTTGTAGGATGTTTAGCAGCAACCCTGACGTCTGCCCACTAGAGAGTAATAGCATCTCCTCTCCAGTCCCAACAAACAAAGATGTCTCCAGACTTTGCCACATATCCCCTGGGGAGCAAAATCATCCCCACTTGAAAACCCCTGGTGTAGAAGATGCTAGAATAACAATATGAAAATAACTAAAAGGATGTACTCTCTACCTATGAAGAACTAATAAGTTAACGTATCTGCAAAAAAATCGTTGGGGAGGATCTTTGATTTTTCAGAGGATTAGAAGAAGAGGAAGCATTTTTGTTTTGTCTTGCTGACATGTACTGTTAATCAAAGTCATATTTAATGTTCTGTAGTCATAGATAGGAGAAAGGCAGAAAGGGAATTAGCTAAGAGCTGTCAGATTCTTTTTGGAATGAGGCAAGCTGCCAATAAAGATATAGACATAATTTTAAAAAGAAATAAGGAAAAAACAAAACCTAAGAGGAAGGTTTAGGAATTGAGGGCAAGAGATCCGGCAGGTGGCTCCATTTACTTCTTGGTTCTTTCCAAGTAAGGTGTAGGTCGTCCAGATGTGTTCTTCCTCTTATCTCCTGCTCAAAGCTCAAAGTTGTGAATTAGGTGAGAAGTTCTTTCTCTAGAGAAAGAAGAGAAAAAAGCTATAAGCTATGAAATCCAAATAGCCATGAAGTCATCCTTACTCTCTAAACTGTTCATCTTTCTTCTCCAAACTATTCATCAGTACTCTCCAAACGGTTCTGAAGCTGTTTCTAAGCCTACAGTAGAGTTCCACACTTCACCGAGCCTCAGAGTACAGAGGTGCCACTTGCACTGCAGTCTGTAAAGTTCTTGTTCTTGCTTTTCTTTACAGACTAAAAATTTTGCATAATTTTATTGGACTGTGTTATTTAATAAATATCACATGAAATATTTACACTGTTTCTAAAGATATCAATTATTCATGTCTCCTAAAACACATTTGATACTGGTAAAATAGGGGATTAGAAGCTATCTGAAAGAGGAAATTTCTATGATGGGTACAGGGATAAACTCCTACTTAAAAGTATAGACAGAAGTGAAGCAGTCACCCAGGAGTGTGTTTGACAATATATATTTATAGTAGGCTATGGTAATTAATCTTCATTACTTTTTCTAGACTAAAACTGTTAGGTCGTAAGTTATCAGTGCTGCTTTATAGACTAGAAACACTCTTAAAAATTTTAATTGAGGTATAATTGACATATAACATTATATTAATTTCAAGTGTACAATGTAATGATTCAATATTTGTATACATTGCAAAATGATCACCACAGTAAGTCTGATTAACATCCATCACCTTACATAGTTACAAAAGATTTTTTTCCTTGTGATGAGAACTTTTAGGATCTACTCTCTTAGCAACTTTCAAATATACAATGCAGTATTAACTATAGTCACCATGCTATACGTTCCATCCCCATGACTTATTTATTTTATAGCTGGAATTTTGTACCTTTTGACCCCCTTCACTCATTTTTCCCACTACCCATACTCCCCACCTCTGGCAAACACCAGTCTGTTAACTGTATCTGTGAGCTTTGTTTTTTGTGCATTTTTTGTTTTTGCTTCTGTTTTTATATTCCACATATAAGTGAGATCATACGGTATTTCTCTTTCTTTATCTGACTTATTGGAAACACTTCTATGTAAGTTTTACAATATGCTATTCCTACTCAGCTGTAGAAAAGGAACATAAAGATCTTAGTCAGGCTATACTTTAATACAATTATCAGATGATTCTTTACTCTGAGTGCTTGTAAGTAGCCATTTTTGTGGAACTGAAAATATGTTTTTATGAGACCTGCTTTTGATTCAGCGTTAGGATTTTCAAGACGTTTGAACCAAGATTTTTAATTCATAATGATTTGTCTTCGGTTGACTACATTAAGAACATGTGTAGTTTTAGTAGGAGGGCATATGATGAGACCATTGTACTCTAAAACCTTAGATTACTGTCCTTGAAAAATAATCATGGTAAAGCTGAGGTTACTTCAAAAATAATTCATTTTATTCGTATCTTAGAGTGAGGCCATGATAAAAGGGGAAACACAAAATTGCTTTTCTTAACACAACAGGCTACAAAGACCAGGAGAGAATATCCTTGAACGCTCCCCCAAACGGTTACTACAAACTTTTCAAATCTGGGCTGTTGAAAAGTGAAGCTGCTGAATGACAATGACCATTGCCTTGTCATTGTGAATAAGCTCCTCTGCTTGCACGTGCCTCAGCACACTATCATATCTTGGAGTGTATGCCCCTAGCCCCCTTGGAATTTTCCATTCCCCATTCTTGTAAACTTCAAGGGAAGATGTTAAACATGGTCTATATGGTCTCTCTGTGTCCTTGCTGAACTATAGAGAAACTGCAGTTAGAAAACACACCTCACAACGTGAAACAAGACCATGAGAATGTGATTGTTACTTTTAACCCCACCACTATCAAGTCTCTTCAATGAAAAACAAAAGGTTGATTCACCATCATTTAGAAAGTAAAGTGAGATTTCATTTGGAATCTAATCTGTTAGGAAGATTTAGACTACGGTTTTAGGATTTCCTGTGGAATCATGCCTAGCTGCAAATGCCGAACTTAAACCACAGGGTGTGAAATCAAGAGCTTGACATACACACGCAGTGCGCTTTTCCAAGAAAATGGAGAGAACCAAAAATAAACGGTACAGAGGCAGTTATATAAAGAACAGTGACCGTGGCTCTGTACAGCTAACATACCACGACTGTGGTTAGCGGTAAGAACTCGTCTCTACCTTTATTGTATTTGTATTAAGAAATAGATGAGGGGATATGCTTACTGTAGCCTAAGAAGAGAAATTGTATCAAAAATAGTAAGAGAGAATAGGCTATGAGTCAATCAATTAAAGTCATTAAGAATAATAATATCTCATTCTTTCTGGTTCTAAGTGATCTATTTTTTTCTTAAAGGTGTGCTTTAAATATTGTTCAGAAACTCCTACTTGATTTTTGTTTTCAGTCTTTTCATAAGTAAATTTTTTTGAACATTCTCTTTCTTCATTTCTGGCTTTTGTACTTGAATAAAGTGGTGAATAGATCTAGGATGTATGCTAAGATGTATATGAAGTCTCAGCTACGCAAATACAAAATAAGGACATACCTAAAAAGCTAATGGTAGCTTCTGGAGGTGTAAGTCAAGTCTGGAATCAGAAGCAGAAATAACAGAAGAATGAAAAAACAGCAACAATTAAAAGCCAACAGTGCTCCAGAAGGAGACAACAAGGTGTTAATGAAACTATATTGGAGGCCAGGAAATCAGAGTTCTAGGTCTCTGTAAAACCATCTGTGAAGTTTAACCTTGCCTTCCCTATATGACTGAGAGTTTTGATTAGCCAGAAATATTTTGAGCAGTGAATATGCAGGCCACATTCATCAGTTCTATTCTATTCGCCGTTCATCTGTTCGTGACTATTCTGTAGCCATCTCCAGCGGGACCTTCAGGCATAGTGAGGAATAGGAGAGTACGTAGCCGTTACACTGCCTTGTGGTCCTTACATACTGTGAGAGAGGGTATGTTGGAAGCTCAGGAGCCCTACCTCAGTTCAACCTGGATTTGAATCGAAGGCTGTACACTCCCAAGCCCATAATGATGAATAGCCTGGGCTCTAGCAGCAGATTTTCCTGGATGTAAATCCTAACGCCATTACTTAGGTTGTTTAGAAATCTAGAGAAAGTTATTGAACCTCTATACGCATCCAAACTATTAAATGGGAATAATAATAGTAAAAGGTAAACTAGATCCTGTTACTCCCCTGATCAAAACGCTCCACTGGCTTCCTATCTCAAAATAAAATCCATACTCCTTATTCAGGCTGACAAGATCTCTCATCATCTGGCCCTTGCTTAATGTGTCACTCTGATTTATTCTCTTCGTTACCACTGTCCCAAATTATCTTTGAGTTTGCTTACTTTGTTATCTGTCTTGCCCTACTATCTCCTCTGCTACTAGCATTAGACACCTTGTCTATCTTCTTCATTGCTACATTCACAGAACCTAGACAGTACCTGGCACAGTAAGTGTTCAGTAACAATTCATTTAATTTATTGAAGGAATAAGTACATACTATGACATGCAAAGTACATAGCACAGGGCTTAATAAGTAATAAAACCATTGTAAGTGTTTGCTGCTGCTGCAGCCATTATTGTCTGCTTCGTAGATTAAGATCCTGCATATGATTTCATTTAGAAAAGAGTTTGCTACCAAAAAGTAAGATTAAAGTTAGTATAATACAGTATATGTATATCAAAACATCAAGTTGTATACCTTAAATATATATGATTTGTATATGTCAATGGTATCTCAATAAAGCTGTTAAAAAAAATTAGTAGACTACTAAGAGAAATAAGATCCCATTTGAAAATGTAATCTCAGGTCCAAATTTTTAGTAGTAAAACAAAGGCAAATTTTAAAATGCACTGTTTAGTTCTTCCTGTTTGGTGTGTAGATCTTTTGCCTGCAACCGCAAAGCAAGCAGGCCCAGAAGGGAAGCTTGATTCCCTGTCCTTATTATCTTAAGCCAAATCACCTTCTCAAAGAGGCAGGGAGAACTGCATTTGAATCAACTAAAATGAGGTTAACCTCTCTCATTAAAACAAGCAGAAACAAAATATGATGACTAGTAAGAATGCTAACATTCTATATTTTATTTCCATTCCTACTCCAGGTGTTGCCACATCTGCAAACTTCCTGGAAGAGTGATGGGGATTCGAGTGCTCCGTTTCTCTTTGGTAGTCATTCTTGTGTTACTGCTGGTAGCTGGTGCTCTGACCACTCTACTTCCTAATATCAAAGAAGACAAGATGCTTGCTTTACGACGGGAAATAAAATCCCAGAGCAAGTCCACCCTAGATTCCTTTACCCTCATAATGCAGACGTACAACAGAACGGATCTACTGTTGAGACTTTTAAATCATTATCAGGCAGTACCACATCTGCACAAGGTGATTGTGGTGTGGAACAACATTGGGGAGAAAGGACCAGATGAGTTATGGAATTCTCTGGGGCCTCACCCTGTCCCTGTGATCTTCAAACTACAGACAACAAACAGGATGAGAAATCGACTCCAGGTCTTTCCTGAGCTGGAAACCAGTGGTGAGTTGCAACTGGGTTCTTAGCCTGGCAGGGCTGCAGCTAACCAGAGCTGGGGGCGGGTATGTGGATTTCTGGCCCTTCTACTTGGCCTAAGTGTCTGGAGAAAACAGGGAAATTTAATCATAAGAAAGCACTTTGAAAAACTTAAGGGGCAATTTCCCAGATGTCAAGAAGCAGTTTCCTGGGGAAGAAATCACATACATCTTACAACAATGACAAAAAGGTTAATATTCTGAAAGAAGATATGCTATAAATATGTGTTATTGCATCTACAGAAGGTAGTAAAATGCCATTTAACTTATGCCTGATGTATTTCTTGCCACCTCCTTTTTCCTCCCATTCATAGGAGTTTCGAGAGGTTGTAATTTGCTTAAAAGAATCTTCGTTTTATTTATTTTTAGGTTCATTAGTTTCTAAGATAATGGATGATAACTACATGATGATTTTCCCCTCAGGCAGTTATAAAATAAATTACGATTCAAATAAAAACTTTTTCTGCTAGACAAATCTCTCCAAGAATATATTTCTTATTTACTATTTTTGTTAGAAAAATACTTCATTTAAATGATCTATATAGACACCATTGTATTTTACAATGTTTTCATTTCCAAACTGTTGGATTTAAATTTTTTTCCTTTCATTTCAGCAGTCTTAATGGTCGACGATGACATGCTAATTAGTGCCCAAGACCTGGTTTTCGCTTTCTCAGTTTGGCAGGTAATATTGCTATATTCTTTATGAAATCACCAGTGTACTATCTTATCTAGCGTTTAACCAGACAGCACGGTTGAATGTGGGACTCACCCAAAACAGTGTAGACAATATTTATCTAAAAGATGGATGAATTTGTTTTGGGGTAATCAAGATTTCCTGTACTCAGTTAAGCCAACCTGAAAGTTATGGTCTCTTTTATGTATATTTGATGTATATTTGGTATACTGGGGAGAAGAGGTAGAACCACCTGCCAGAGAACAACAAGGAAATGATCTGGTATATGTTATAGCAAAGACTAGAATCCAGAGATATTTTCCACAAGGTCACAGACATGTGTTTCAAATGAGAAGTGCATTTCTGTATTAATGTTGTGTATAACTTTCTTTAAAAGAAAGCGTTTATGACATCCACAAAATTTAATTCTGATTCTGAGACCGTTGTTTAGAAATGAATAATAATGATAGTAATTCTACATGCACCATTGTGGTGGAGGTTTCATTTTTTTCCCCTAAATCCTAGCTGGGATAAACAGGCATAAATTGCTCACTAGTCTATAAAAACAGCTCTTTCCTGTTGAATATGTGGTAATAGTAACTGGCTTTCACAAGTTGCACTACAATTACCTGAAACCAGAACTGCACACAAAAACTCGGAAGTCCTATCAAATAATTCAACACTGTGCTACCCAATAAATGATCTAATTTGCACTTAGTAACTTTCCATTAGCTACCTGGGTTATAGCAACATTAGATATTAATGGTAAGTGGTCACAGTACTCTGCAGATATCAGCATTTTAAAAACTTCAGTTTTTAACTACATGCCTCGTGTACTGATCCACAAATGTTTTCCAAATATCAGCAATTTTCCAGCCCTGTAAATAAAAACTTCTTAGGCAGAAAGTTCTAATCTGGTACCCTAGCTGTGAGATTCCTATTTCCGGTAAAAATCAGTTTACCTAAAATGTCAGGAGTTAGAGGACATATGACTGTGGTTAATTAGAACAATCCAGGTGAACCATAATTAAAGATGGATAAGTATGCTTTTAGGTTTCATTTGTAAAAATATCAAGGACAATTTCAATCCATTGCCCAAGATAATCTGACTCCTAAGATTCAGTCTCATCAGTGCCCTGCACTGATGTGATGATTTGGGATATAGAGGCAAGCAAGATGAAGCCTCCCAGCCTTTATCCCTCAACCCCTGACCTTCCCCTTTGCCTCCCAGCAACATAGTTGTCACTCTGTCCTCAGTGCTCCCAGGAGATTTACCCAACTGCATTTACAGCTATCTCACATTATGGGTAGTTCCTTGTTCCTATGTCTGCATCGTACCATCTCTAGACTATGAGTTCTTTGAATGGCATTTAACCCAGCGTGATTTGTGTGTGTGTGTCCCTAGTTTAGTGTCTTTCAGTAAATGAGTGAAACAAATTATTTATGAGATTGAACTAAACTTTTTAATTCTGTAAGTTATTACCTCTTTCTCATGCTTCACTGATTTTCTTTTGTTTGCTGATTTTTTGTTTAATTTTTGGTTACTCTCAACTTAATATTATAAAGTGTTTTGTTACTCCCCTTTCATCAAAGATCCTAATACATCTCATCACATATATATGAGATATATATATTCTCTTTTTTTTTGAGGAAAATTAGCCCTGAGCTAGCATCCGCTGCCAATCCTCCTCTTTTTGCTGAGGAAGACTAGCCCTGAGCTAACATCCATGCACATCTTCCTGTACTTTATATGTGGGATGCCTGCCACAGCATGGCTTGACAAGCAGTGCATAGGTCTGCACCCAGGATCCAAACTGGGGAACCCCAGGCCACTGAAGCGGAACATATGAACTTAACCGCTGCACCTCTGGGCCAGCCCCTATATATATTCTCGTATTTTAAAAAAGGAAACACCCAAGCTGAAAAAGAATAAAATATAGCACTGTTTAAAATCAACAGTGACTTTCAAGAACATTGAAATCAGCGTGGAAAAACAGTAAAATCATATGTTCAGATCCATAATTTTATATACTCCTAAGAGATTAAACCAGTTTTTCAAAATAATCACGTTATATTTTCTTATCTTCTATAGTAAGTAGCATTCATACAGTCAACTTCTCTTGCAGCAGACTTTGAAGAACCAGACTCTTTGGTGACTAGTTTATTAATATCAGATAATGTTTGGATTAGGGGAACATTTGTGAGGTTAGAAATTTTGTCAGAGATTTGGGTTATGATGGGATTTGTCCTGTAAACTTATTGGCACATCAGTTTATGAAGTTGCCTGGAGTTTGATGAAATTGAGGTGTAGAAGCCAGGATAAAATAAAATTGACAAATCAGTTTCATTCTCTCTGTAATAAATCGTTGCCTTTTTCGCCATGTCTATTCTAAAGAAATGCCACACTTAATTGTTCTTTTTCTGTCTTTTCAGCAATTTCCTGATCAAATTGTAGGATTTGTTCCTAGAAAGCATGTGTCTACGTCATCAGGTATCTACAGTTATGGAGGTTTTGAGCTGCAAACGCCAGGCTTTGGAAATGGTGACCAGTACTCTATGGTGCTGATAGGAGCCTCATTCTTCAATAGCAAATACCTTGAACTCTTTCAGAGGCAACCTGCAGCCGTCCATGCTTTGATAGATGAGACGCAAAACTGTGATGATATCGCCATAAATTTTATCATTGCCAAGCACATCGGGAAGACTTCAGGGGTATTTGTGAAACCAGTAAACATGGGCAATTTAGAAAAAGAAAGCAACGGTGGCTATTCTGGAATGTGGCATCGAGCAGAGCACTTTCTGCAGAGGTCTTTCTGTATAAATAAGCTTGTTAATATCTATGGTAGCATGCCCTTAAAATACTCCAACATTATGATTTCTCAGTTTGGTTTTCCTTATGCCAACCACAAAAGTAAAATGTGAAAGTAAAACAAACAAAAACCAACCTCAAAACTGCTTAGTATTTGAGTAGCTCATCCGTGCTGTGGTTGGTTTGTTTTCTTTTTTTAAGCAACATCATGAACTTTTATCCACCCCAGAAGTCTCTACAAAGAAAAAAATGTACAGCGCTCCTAAGATATGAAATTCACATGAACTTCAAAAACCAAAAAGCTAGTATTATCCAGATAGGTCTTCTTGTGAGAAGTTTTTGTCCACAGATACAACGCCTTGGTCAGCGATTTTGTTGTTTACATCCTGAGACTGTTCTCCAATTTCTTTGACTCCTGGCATTTGCCTTAAGGACCTGTGTAGAAAGCTGTTTCCAGGATCAGAGAAGCATTTCTCAGCTTTTTCATTAAAGGATGATTGTTTTCATTTGAAGTCTGAAATGCCTTTTTCGCAAAAGCCTGTGGTAGGGAAAAGCCATGTGAAGAGAGAATAGTCTCAATCCCATGTAAAAACAAGTGACAAATTTGTGACTACCAGTGCTTCCCGTGTGGTCCTTCCACCCAACCCTTTCCAGGACTGTCTCAGCCAAGCATGGTTTTGATGCAACTATCAATGCTTTTATTTTTGTTAATAAGTCTGTTGTAACTAGGGGAGTGAATTTTAGTAGCTGAGGGATGTCTAGTTGTTTGCTTGATTTTTGTGAACATTTACTGCATGGATCACAAAAAAAGTGCAGCCTATGTTTCTTATATGCAACTTATATGCAGCAAGGAGTAAATCTGTTACAAGATTCAGGTAGTGCATTTTGTCACTGAATCTGACCTTGAGATTGTACATTAATTCTTATTTTTTACATACAGTATATGTAGTTTAAGAAACACGTATAAGATAACGCTTCTGAAAGAATGATTAAGTAGGAACTGGCAGAAGTTAAAAATGTTATTGTCAAAAGATCTTTATTGTCAGGGTGTAGGTGATCTCATGGATCTTAAAGAGTGGTATGGATTATACACAAAGTCATTCTCTTGAATCTAGAACTTCTTTTTTTTTTTCAAAAAAGATCCAAGGCATTATTCATCATGATGAAATTTCAATTACATAGATACAGGAAAAAATAAGAGTACTGAGTCATAGCAGGCAATTCTATAGGGACTACATCAGCTCATTGTTAAGTTGCCCACGTCCTGTTATGCAAATTAATATCTGTGCTCTACACAGTGTCTATATTTGGTCCTTGTTCACTACTGATGGCAAGGAATATTTAAGTAGGCCTCTGTCTACCATCTTCTCTCCCTCTCTCCCTCCTTCTCCTCTTTCTCCTCCTCCTCCTCCTATAATGACATTATGTTCTCCCAATTGCAAAGCTCTGAAAATATTAATCGTGGTTAATGTTGCAACAATGAAGTCTCTGTGCAGTTAGTTGAGCATATGTTGTTTCCTACGTTGGCATGTGTATGCGTCTTAATGCAGTCAGATAAAACCAGTAGAACTCAAAACCTCACTAAAAATCTATAATGTTAGTTATCTACTTTGTCCAACCTTGGTAGTGATTTTTTTGCCTCTTGGGCAGATAAATAAAGTAAACTTTTACCATCCAGGTGTTCTATGTTAATTAAGCAGACTCTTGTTTTTGTGGTCATTATTTTTACAAATTTCTAAACATTCTAATATATTGCTCAGAGTAAGGTAGAGGTGTTAGCTAGCTACATTCTTTGTGGGAAAATTTTGCAGTGGGAAAATATTCTCAGATTTTTTTTTTTTCCCCATCTTGTGTTTTTAAACTTGTTTTAAGCCTCACATAAGTTAATCATATCATGTTTTTCGGACATTATAGAGCAAATATGAAAGCAAAGTGAAGTTCAGTCTATGTTACAAAGACTTGCATTGTGGCTAGAATTCTACTAAAATTGTTTTTCCCTGCACACCTCTTATTCTTCCTCAAAACAATCCAGAGAAGACATGATGCTCAGGCTTAAAACTACACAAGAGAAGCAATTTAACTTAGAGATTGTGTGCCGGTAGAGAACTTGGGCTCAGAGCCTTAGATCTCATATTTACTTAACTGTTTGGAGCCTCAGTTTCCTTATCTGCAAAAATGGGAATGGTACCTACCTAGGGATTTGTTTTAAGGAATAAAAGAGATAGTTTGTATAAATATAGCAGAATGCCTTGCCCAATTTAAATGATCAATAAATGGAAGTTGTTGGGATGTGTCATTGACAATAAGTGCAGTTAATTGTACAACTCACTACCTAATGACTAGAAAGGCCCCTGGACCCACCAGACGAGATATTTGGGCAATTGTTTCTACATAACAATGGGCAGAGAACCATGGCAATTTTCATCACATTTTCTTTATTTCAAATGTTCTTTTTCTCATTATTAAAACAGCACATATTAAATCTAGCAATTTTGGCATATTCAGAACAGCGTAGAGAAGAAATTAAAGGCTCACCACCACATTAACAGTGACTAAACATTTTTATGTCTATTCCTCCCAACTTTTCTAGGCGCATATTTTAACAGCATGATTTATTTTAAGAGCATATTTATTTCATTGGATAGGTAAACCATAATTTATATAATCAATCATTACCATTTTGTTTGATAATTTTTTACTGTTATAAAACATTTGGATAAATGTTTTTGCCTTGAACAGACATCTTTGAGCATGTCTATAATGATTTCTTTGAAATCAAGTCCAGGAAGTTCAACACTTGGATCTATCTGGTAGTACGCGTGTTTTTAGCGTTTTTGATATATATTCCAGAAGCATTGTCATAGCCACACTATTATTATCACAACTGATAGCACCTATTTCCTATCAGACTTCCCAACATTGCATATTACCTTTATAATTTTCTTTTACTTTTTCCATGTACAGAATTCTCAAAAGCTACAGGACTTGGAAAGACTGAGGCTGTGTTAAGATCTCTGTGTTAAGGAAGCTGGAAGACAGGCAATCAATCAACTGTAAAATAAAAGATTTGAGGGCAGTGTAACTTCAGGAAGCTTTTGAAATGCATCTAGGAACTGCTTGCTCCAAGACTTGAGTCTAGGCAATGAATTGCTGACCCTTTGCTGGTCTTAGGAGTAAAAATTTTGGAAACAACAAAAAATGCTCTCACTTGTTCCTCTTGGAAAGACCTAGGACTTTGACCCCAAGGTCAGGAGTGAATAAGTGTGTGTGTGTTCGCATGTGTGCCCTTACATGCACTTGTGGTAGCAGTGGGAAAAGTAGGAGGTAGAGGGAGTGGGAAGGAGGAGGATGGAATGGAGGATAATGCTGTGATGCAGGAGAAATATGGAGGTGCCAAATCTCGCTGGATGCTACAAGGGATTAAATGGTGAGCTCTGATCCTCCTCTACCCCATGCTACTTCATAAACTCGGTTTTATTGTTCTGCTAGGGTTCTCCCAACTTCACTCTCCCGTCTCTCCTCCATTCCTCCTCCTCTCCCTTCCTCCTTTTCTCCTTTCATGAAACCCTTCTCAATATTTTCAAAAATATACTTACTGTGGATGAAATGCAAGAAACCTTTGGTTCATTGGAAATATACACCGAGTCCCGGCTCCACTTAATTTCCTTATCTGCAGGATGAGGATGAAGACACCTGCCCTGAAATTTCTCTGGTTGCTTTGGTTTCAAAGGGCATAATGTGTAGAAAGAACTTTGTAGTACAGGAAAATAAAATAATTTTTAAAAAGCCATTACATAAAGAAAGCAGCTTGCCCAAGAGTTAAAGAAAGTTGGTTGTGAATTAGTAGCCGTGTCAAAATTATGCCTTAAAGCATAGAAGGAAGCAAGAAGAAACATGCAAGTACTGAAAACACTTTAAGGAACCCACGTTATTAGCTCTAACTCAGAATGGAATATTTAAATGTGGTATTTATCTAAACTAGAGAGGACTCTTGAGGCTCTTCCCCTTTTCATATGTCAATATTTCTTTTATTTGAAGATAAAAAGAATCAAATTCTTGATTGGAATATTTTAAGTAGTTAAAAAATAATCTGAAGGAAGCAACTTTAATTTACGGCAGTGATTCTTAGCTTAGGCTGATTTTGGCTCCTGGGGCCACTTGGCAATGTCTGGAGACAAATTTGGTTGTTACAGTTGGGGGCACGTTACTGGCATCTAGTGAGGATGCTGAAGCCCCCTACCACAAAAAGTTAAGCATCCCAAAATGTCAATAGTGCTGAAGTTGAGAAAAACGTGCTTGGCTTTATATTGTACAATATATGGCAATTTATATAGCACACACTTTATCACAATGCAAGTTGCATTGCTAAAGTTTTATCCTATGTGACAGTGCCTATTGGAACAGAAATTTAAAGGGGGCAGGAGTGTTTATATTACTGATAAGACATCTGGTGCATAATTCTGTGACCTCGAATCTGATCAAAGAGCCAGAAACTTCCCTGGTTAAAGTTTATCTGACTCTTTTTTGTTTTTTCCTGATCCACATGCCTCTTTCTATTTTTACATCTGAAGAAATAGACAGTGGAGCTTCAGTTTCTGAGAAGAACTTGTGAATAAATATATATTTCTGAAGCACTACAGAGAAATATGTAATATAGTGTGTATTTTAATAACACATCTCTAGTTGGAGAAAGGATGATTGAGTTAAAGTAAGCTAAATATAAATTCTCACCTAATCATGTTTACATGTGTATATTTGTGTGTTGAAGTATTTTTTAGTTAAACAGTAAACTTAATAAGCAGCTAGTGAAGACAATTTGTATAGGAAAGAATATCGGAATGGGAGAATTAGGAAACATTTTTCTCATATCAGCAAGGTAATGAGTTATGGAACTTTATCTGAGGCTTAAGTTTCCACATCTATAAAAGAAAGGGATGAACTAAATGATCAGTAAATTTCTTTCCAGTTGTAAAATTCTGTGACCCTAAATCAGAGTGTTGAATTGGTAGGTTTTAAAGGCGCCATGTTATGCTTCCTGACAAGAAGACATAATCCCCTAGAGTATAGATCTGCTGGAGCTTACTGACTTCCCGACACCCAAAGTCTATCTCCCCAGGAGTGCTTCTCAAAGCGAATACTAACTTCATAAACATCACTATCGTTGTCCTGTTTTCAGACCAAAAGTCATAATGATGATGATGAGATGATGAATAAGATGATGATGATGCTGTTGTTCAGTGGTAGACCCTGGAAAAATGTTATGATTTAAAAGACGTTTTGCTTCTTAACCAAGCTTCTGTTGCCACTGGCCTTTATGAAGATCCCAAAGAGAGTTGCAACAGGCTAACACTCCACTTGAGTCAAATTGAACTGTGAAACAGAAATTATCAGGTACAGCTGCTAATTTGTTTAACCCGGAATGCAAATACAAGTTTTAAAGACTAAATTAAACTATTGGATTCTACTAAAATTTAGAACACAATTTTTATGGAATTTACTGTCTTACCAGCAGATGTCAGTGCAACCTAATTAACTGACTCACATTTTTAGCAGATTAAATACCTGCCAGTAAACTGGGTGAAACTAGTCTGAAAATAGCAAAGTTAAAAGCCTACTGTCAATGTTTTCTTTATTAAGAATATCTTCTTAAGTGGAGGTATAAAAAAACCAATCCTTCAAAAGTGACTATGGTAAAATGGGCCCTTGCCTCGGTAAATCATATTATATAAGTTGTAACACATTGTTATTATCATCATAATTTTTGTGACAATAGAATTTCTCAGTGACATATAAAAGACATGACCTTAATTAAGTACAAAATGCTAATCTGTGGTAAAGCGTAAGAATAGCAGTATTTTATAGCTTTTTTTTTTTGCAGTGTAGGATTAGCCCTGAGCTAACATCCGTTGCCAATTTTCCTCTTTTTTTTCCTTCTCTCCAAACCCCCCCTTACATGGTTGTACATCATAGTTGTAAGTCTCTCTAGTTCTCTATGTGAGCTGCTACCACAGCATGTCAACTGACAAATGGGTGATGTGGTTCCCTGACCAGGAAACAAACTCGGGCTGCAGGAGTGAGAGCGCCAAAATTTCAGCAGTAGACTATCAGGGCTGGCTCAAGAATAGCAGTATTTTAGGGGACGGCCCATGGCTGAGTGATTAGGTTCGTAGGCTCTGCTTCAGTGGCCCAGGGCTTCACCTGTTCAGATCCTGGGCGGGGACCTAGCACTGCTCATCCAAGCCACGCTGAGGCGGCGTCCCACATAGTAGAACTGGGAGGACCTACAACTAGAATATACCACTATGTACTGAGGATCTTTGGGAAGAAGAAGAAAGAGGAAAAAAAAAAAAGATTGGCAACAGACGTTAGCTCAGGGCCAATCTTTAAAAAAAAAAAGAATAGCAATATTTTAAAAACTAACGCATCGTAGGCACTAGAGCCAAAGGAAACTCATTTGTCTCTGGGTGATATATTTATAACCCCTGAAACACATTAATTCCTAATGAATCCTAAAATATCACTTGTGTGATACCATTTGTTCTCTTGAATGTAGCCTTTTGCTTTTACCAAAAGTCGTTAATCCAATGGCAGTAACAGCAGTGACCATTATGTGGGGAACACTCACTTACATTATACCATATAATCTTTGTAACAACCGTGCAGTGTAGATACCTGTA